AAAAAAAAAAAAAAGCTATACAGAGCTGTACATTTTTCTAAATCAACCTTGCTTTTAACAGTCTTTTTCTTTCCCATCCCCCATTGTAATGAGGTACCTGGCACTATACCTAATCTAATGAGAAAGTCTCCCATTGGTATCAAGTCAAATGTGCAGAGAAATGGAAGAGAAAGCTGAATGAAAGGGATAGGATGCCTCTCCAAATCCAATTCAATTTTCCTAAAGCTCAGCAAGTTGGATCTGCTATGTTGCCCACCTCTACCCAGGTGTGACAGAGGATGGGAACAGCATGACCCTGCCAAGGGGCTTTAGTGATATGTGGTGTGAGGAGGGGCACCACCAAAGGAAAGGAAGGGTGGCCAGTTGCCACAAGTCATCCTTCCTACCATACAGTCCTCCCTAGAACACTTTTTAGATCTGTATGAGGTACTATGGTCTAAATGTTTGTGTCTGCCCCAAATCCCTATGTTGAAAACCTAATTGGGAGATAGTATTAGGAGGTGGGGATCTCTGGGTGGTGATTAGGTCACAAGAGCAGAACCTTCAAGAATGGGATTAGGCCCAGCCGGGCGTGGCTCAGCGGTTGAGCGTTGACCTAGGATCCAGGCAATCGGGGTTCGATTCCCGGTGAGGGCACATGCCCAGGGTTGCAGGCTCGATCAATGACTCTCTCATCATTGATGTTTCTATCTCTCTCTCTCCCTCTCCTTTCCTCCCTCTGAAATCAATAAAGCTATATTTTAAAAAAGAGGAAAAAAAATAAAAAAAAAAATTAAAAAAAATGGGATTAGTGTCCTTATAAAAGAGGCCTCAGAGAGACCACTTCTTCCATTTGAGAAGTCTGTGACTAGGTAGAGGGCTCTCACCAGAACGTGACCATGCTGTGAAAAATGAATTCTTATTTTTTATAAACCACTCAGTCTGTGGTATTTCGTTATAGTAGCCCAAATGGATTAAGAGGTAAGGCAAAGAAAGAAGAACCAAAAAGATAAAGCCTGGCCGGGAGTGGCTCAGCGGTTGAGCGTCCACCTAGGATCCAGGAGATCGAGGTTCGATTTCCGGTCAGGGCACATGCCCGGGTTGCGGGCTCGATCAATGACTCTCTCATCATTGATGTTTCTATCTCTCTCTCCCCCTCTCCTTTCCTCTCTCTGAAATCAATAAAGATGTATTTTAAAAAAACCAAAAACCTCTTTAAAAAAAAAAAAAGATAAACAGAGCCCATTTCAGGCCTTGTTTGCCACGTGGTGGCTTTATTTTTTGTTTATCCTCATCTGAGGATCTTTTTTCCATTGACTTTTAGGGAAGGAGTGAAGGGAGATGGGAGGGGAGAGAGAAAGAGAGAGAGATAACAATGTGAGCGAGACACACCAATTGGTTGGCTCCCGAATGTGCCCAGACCAGGGCGGGGATCAAGCACCCAACCCAGGCACACACCCTTGACTGGGAATAGAACCTGTGTGTAGGCCAGGTGCTCCAGTGTGTAGGCTGATGCTCCAACCACTGAACAACCCAGCCAGGGCCACATGGTGGCTTTAAAAGTGAGTTTAAGTTAGCATCTGAGTAGGCCCTGGGCTCTCATGCCTGCTAACCTTGCAAAGGATGAATCGATCGTTGTTCGGGTTCTCTGGGTCTTCCTGTTTGTATTTCATGACGTGGAAGAACAGCACAGACATGATCTCAGCAGCACTGCTACATGATGTGGGGTGGCTGAAAGACAGATACGGCACAAGTCATTTCTCACAGGTGACTCACTAGGGACAAGTGCATGGGGAGGTTTTTCAGCATAGTCTCCTCAGACCAGAAGCAGTAGTTATTACTCCCAGCTCTGGAAGAATTCAGCCAAGGGAAAGGGATGCAGGGCCACTGCCTCCCAAGCTCAGTTTTTAAGGATGCTTTAAGGCCCAGTAGCCTCACAACTTGGTGATTCCACAAGCACTTGAACAGTTTTTCACTTGTTTGAATTTATCTGTGATATCATTAGTCAGAAATGCCATGCAGCAGAAATAAACCCATGCATATATGGTCAACTAATATTTGACAAGGGAACCAAGAAAACTCAATGGAGAAAGGACAGTCTCTTCAATAAATGGTGCTGGGAAAATTGGATAATAACATGTGAAAAAATGAAACTAGACCCCTATATTATAACATTCACAGAAATTAACTTGAAATGGATTAAGAGGAAAATGTAGGACCAGAAACTATTAAACTCCTAGAAGGAACCACAAAAAAAAGTCTCCTTGACATGGGTCTTGGTAGTAATTTTTTGGATATGACACTTACAGCTCAAGCAACAGAATAAAAAATAAACAAATGGGACTAGATCAAACTAAAAAAAGCTTCTGCATAGCAAAGGAAACCATCGACAAAATGAAAAAGACAACCTGTTATATGGGGAAAAAATTTGTAAACCATGTATCTGATAAGGGGTTAATATCCAAAATATATAAAGAACTCATACAACTCAATAGCAAAACCCTCCCCCAATCTCTTCCACACACTCTGAAAAGCAATGAAAAAAATATCTCTGGTGAGGATTTAAAAAAAAAAGATTTTAGGCCCAAGTCATGCACATTAATATCTCCGTTTCAAGTTTCACAACACAGAAAATGAAGACGTAAGACTTCTTGCCATGCAAGTATCCCCTAAGGGGGTGATTTGGATTTAAAAGCTATTAGAGCCTGGCCAGGGTGGCTCAGCAGTTGAGCACTGACCTATGATCCAGGAGATCATGGTTTGATTCCCAGTCAGGGCTCAATCCCCAGTAGGGGGCACGAAGGAGACCGCCAATCACTGACTCTATCATTGATGTTTCTATCTCTGTCTCTCCTCCTTTCCCTTCCTCTCTCTGAAATCAATAAAGCCATATATATATATATATATATATA